TTTGAGTTTGTAATATTTGTTACCCTGTGAGTAAAACTAATGCATTTTGTAAACTGGCCTCACATCTTTTGATAAAGAACACGAGTATCTTTTGCCGCCATAAAAACCAGAAGTAGAAAGTTTTCTCAGATAGAAACGCAGGGCATATTTTTGGCCGGTTTGGACGAAGTTCAAAAGCTGCTAATAGTATAATGGCGATGTACGTCGGACAGGAGGACAGGCTGTCGGGCAGTGGGTAGCTAATTTGTGTCATTGATTCCTCCTACAGTCTTTTACCCAGATCCCTGAAACATTACAGGAAGATTTCACATATATTCTGAACTCGTGCGCCTGCTTTTATCATGGTTATGGAATTGTTTGAGAAGTTTTTTTTCTCATTTTTCCGTACTTAGTCATTTGTTCTGCAAAAATTAAATTTATGAAAGATTACAAGTTTAGTGTAATCAACTTCTTCTACAGTTTTCAACCCAGATCCTTGAAACTTCTCAAGAAGACTGCACATATGTTGAAGTCGTGCACCTGCTTTTATGGAATTGTTTGAGTTTTTTTTCTCATTTTCCAGACTTAAAAACCTAGTCTTTTTTCAGCAAATTTTATGAAAGTGTACAAGTTTTGTGTAATCAACTTCTCCTACAGTTTCAACCCAGAACCCTGAAACTTCTCCTACAGTTTTCAACCCAGAACACTGAAACTTCTCCTACAGTTTTCAACCCAGAACCCTGAAACTTCTCCTACAGTTTTCAACCCAGAACCCTGAAACTTCTCCTACAGTTTTCAACCCAGAACCCTGAAACTTCATGGGAAGATTGCACATTTGTTGTAGTTGTGCAACTATTACTATGGAATTGTTTGAGGAATTTTTCTCTTTTTTTCCAGACTTGGTCATTTTTCAAAGTTTAACAATTATTGATTGATTGATTGATTGATTGATTGGTGTTTAACGCCAAATATTGGCTATTTCGTGGCGGTCAGTTTTTATTGGTGGAAGAAGCCGGAGTGCCCGGAGAGAATCATCGACCTTTGGTAGGGAAACTTACTCTATAACATAGTCCTGTAACATAGGAGTAGTCCTATAACATAGGTATAGTCATATAACATATGTAGTGTCCTATAACATGGTCCTATAACATATGACTTCACATTCTTTAGTTTTCTATGTTGTGTTTTGTGTACAATTGTTTGTCTGTTGGTTTTTTTTAGCCATGGCGTTGTCACTTTATTTTCGACTTATGAGTTTAAATGTCCCTTTGGTATCTTTCGCCTCTCTTTTACAATCCTAGGCAATTAAAGATTAAAGTCGAACGCACCTGCCACGTGCGGGATTCGAACTCACAGGCTGTGTTTGGATATACGCCAGAGGTGGCCTATGGTTATCCACAGGTACCTTTGGTTTGATATTCTATATATCAAAATATCAAACCATGGGTACCCAAAGATACCTATGGGTAACCATAGGCTGCCTTAGGCATATATCCAAACACAGCCACAATCTCAGTGTTGACAGGCTAGTGATACAATAGTACTTATGCAGGCGGAAACCCAGTTGAAATAGAACAAAAGAATCGAAGCTCTTTGTTAGAGAAGGCGATAAATGCTTACTGTAATGTTTACTATAGTAACAAAAATTTTAAAAGTTAATAGAAATAAATAAAATGACAGTTTCGGCTAAATTACGAAGTATTTTATCATAAAAACACCATTTGCATAAGTTTTCAATTTATCTGTTACATAATTAAGCAGAACAATTAGATATCAAGTCCACGACATGGGTGTCTATTCAGTTGGATCTAAAAAATGCATAACCTCCGATTTAAAAAAAAAAAAAAACCACGGACGGAGAACATATCAATCTATTTGTTCTTTAATTTTCGTTTCTGCCCTTCCATTATGTGACTCAAGAAATAATTCAAAAAAATGGGTAACAATTGCATCGAAAAGAGAAAATCGAGTGCACCTTTTAATGTTAGGGCGTGTTTGAGTTGAATATTTTGCCTTGAAAACGTAAAAAGCAAAAGTATTTGATACATCATCTCGCTTCAGATTCTATCATTTTTATATATCAAGGCTACATGTTGACTTTATAACATCGAAAATTCACAGTACTAAAAAAATGAAATATATGGGTCAAGTGAAATACCTTTCTAATGAATCACAGAAACAGAATAGGTGTGTTCGAATAACAAATTTTTACTAAAAATACTTGACGACAGACTTTTAAGTTGGATCTTAAAAATGCATATCTTCGAAAAAAACTTCATATTTTGTGTGTGATATCTAGGGTTTATAGTCTTCAACCACTGAAAATTTTTAGTCTGCCCTTCCACGAAATATTGAATTAGAATTTTTTTTAAATGTTTATGAATTTTCGAAAATTCCACCTGACAACCGATCAGACAATAGTTTTAAGTTGACTGAATGTAGACAAGTACATTAACTGATGCTCATTAGCTAGTAGATACATTTGTCTTTTAAAATACAACTGGCATATAAGGATCGTAATGGTGCTATGTGGATAAATTTATCGGTTTTCAAGAGCTAAATTGGCAGCGCGTCATCCCTACAATGGCTTCCATTTTTACGATTGTAAAAATGAACTGGCGTAATGGGGAGATAATTTTGACAAAGTAGAATCCTGACTGTATGACCACTCGGTCACCAAGGCCCTCAAATAATTAAATGTTCAGTAAGAAACAATTTGCGCAAACCGGCCATTTGAGTCTTTGATCTATTTTTCACATTAAAATGATTAAATTTATTTCCTTAAAACTAAAAGTGCACTCTGCATAACTGATAATTTTTATTACTTTGACATTTAATATTTGTCTTTTCCTGTTTGGGAAGATTATATAATGTACATTGTATATTATTATAGGCTGTGTTTGGATATACGCCTAAGGCAGCCTATGGTTACCCATAGGTATCTTTGGGTACCCATGGTTTGATATTTTGATATATAGAATATCAAACCAAAGGTACCTATGGATAACCATAGGCCACCTCTGGCGTATATCCAAACACAGCCATTGTAAGACTAATATACAAATCCTTGATTATTATGATTTGTCCAAGACTTTATTTCGTTCTTTTTTGCGATCAAAGTACACTTGCAACATGCCATTAAATGCGTCCTCGGCTTTGTCTCGTATCTCCAGAAAAGATGTAGCTAGTGTTCTAGCTTGAAAATGACACTAAACAGGATCTAGGAACTAGGTTACGACACCGACCACCATAATTTCAAATTATAGACACAGGCTGTGTTTGGATATACGCCAGAGGTGGCCTATGGTTATCCATGGGTACCTTTGGTTTGATATTCTATATATCAAAATATCAAACCATTGGTACCCAAAGATACCTATGGGTAACCATAGGCTGCCTTAGGCGTATATCCAAACACAGCCACAGTGTACATAATTCAGATGACGGTGTTTCGGATTTTTATGAAATTTGGAACACATTTAGATTGATTGATTGCTGGTTGCTTAACGGGTACGCATTTAGAACTAGTTAAACTGAATCTGAATATCTAAAAAGTGAAATATGTGTCATTCCTATTTATCAGGGATACCATCATTTTAAAAATTATGAACAGCCTATATAAATGTATAGAATGCACGTAAAAAGCATTGCTACAACATATTTTATTCACTTTGAATTTGAATTTCATGTTTTTTCATGCATCATTCAATTTAGGACTATTAAGACTGCAAAAACCAATCTGATGGCCCCCTAATATTTTTGTTCGTATCATTTAAATGGCAATGTGCACAGCAGTAAAATATATAAATTTAAACCAAATACTGAGAGAAAAAAAATTGTGCATGGGGTGTTGACATGTTGTATAATGTAATAACAGGTGCCCGTGGTCTAGACGAGAACTTTCAATTTTCTGTTTGTTTCTTTTGTCTTTTATTATATTTATAATAATGTTTCGGTCTGTAAAAAGAGGCAACTTCCTACATGCCTTTGCACAATTTTCGTACCGGGCAGAGTTTAGCAATATGGCTTACACATGTAACATTACGAGAGGGATAATCATGTCAAAATCTTGGTATTTTATATGACGTAATGCGAAAAGCTATTAGCTATGGATATAATCGTGTATAGACAATGAACTTAAGACCTGTTTTTTGTTTTTTGTTTATAAAAACAAATATCAATTTAAGATGGATCGGGGCCTTCTGCCATCTAGGATTGTAAAATAGCACAAAACAATAGGTTTGATCTTAATGAAATATGCAAATTTTGAGATAGGAATGCAGTTCATTTTTAAGATTTTTGTTGAAATAAAGAAAATTATGAGATTTATCTTAAAACCACGATTGTGTTTACGAATACAGAATATTTTTGGTTTCATTCAACTTTTTATAAACTGAACTGTATAAGGGGAGATAATTATAACTTTATAAAGGAATATACAGTAAATTTACCTATTTTGTTTTCCAGCAAGAAAAACGAGTACCATGACCCAAATTTTTATTGTCTGAAAGCACTTTTTATGATATCTTATTTTAAAATTCTATTGTTTAGTGTTATACATTCTTACAAAAGTGGTATTCCGTGTACATGAACAATCTTTACAGATTTCATGCTATCTGTATAAAATGGTCAATGTGATTGAAACAATAATTTGACAATGACCAGAAAAATGTCGGGAAAAATCTGTGTAACTTTTCTCATGAATTTGAACCAGTTGTCTGGTCAAACTTGATTGTTGATTTACTGAGTGGTTGTGGGGAAATGTATTTAATTAAAACGCAATTGTTTTTCTCCCTATTCTGTTCAGAAAAAACTCCCTAATCTCTATCTTTCAATTGGCTATAGCCGTCTATTTTAGCTTTGGTGGATAGTTGTCTCATTGGCAATCATACCACATCTCCTTGTTTTTATATAGAGGGAGTAATAGAATTTCAGAATTTCTGGCTTCTCAATTCACTGCAGTCTTACCTCATCTGCTCCAACATGGCAGAATGTATGATTTTATATTTTTCTTCTTGTAGGAATGAAACTTCCAAGGAAGAACCATAGACAGATCAAAGACATAGAAGAGGTGTGTTTTAAATCCAAACACTTAATTATGGATAACATAGGCAATGATAGACACCATCAATATATGTATAATGACCAGTGGGACATATCTTGGAACAGACATTTGTATATATATAGCAAGGTGACATTATCTTAAAAAAGACTTTTGTATATTTCATTAGATGACATCTTGGAAAGGATATTTGTATATTTAATTATGTGACCATATCTCGAAAAAGACTTGTATATTTCATCAGGTAAAGATATCTTTAAAAGGACATTTGTATATTTAATTATGTGACGATATCTAGAAAAAGACTTGTATATTTTATTAGATGATATCTTGGAAAGGATATTTGTATATTTAATTATGTGACGATATCTAGAAAAAGACTTGTATATTTCATTAGATGAAGTTATCTTAAAAGGACATTTGTAAATATATTACCAGGTGACAATATCTTGAAAAAGACTTTAGTATATTTCATTAGATGACATTATCTTGGAAAGGATATTTGTATATTTCACTACATGTGTAGGTGACAATATATTGGAAAGGATATTTGTATATTTCACTACATGTGTAGGTGACAATATATTGAAAAGGATATTTGTATATTTCACTACATGTGTAGGTGACAATATATTTGGAAGGATGTTTGTATATTTCATTAGATGATGGAAAGGATATTTGTATATTTCATTATGTGATGATATCTTGGAAAGGATATTTGTATATTTTACTACATATGTAGGTGACGATATATTGGAAAGAATGTTTGTATATTTCATTCTAAGAGAGGATATCTTTGAAAGGACATTTGTTTATATACTTCACAGTGACAATATCTTTGAAAGGACAGAACAAACATGTTGTTTTTTTCAAAGATAAAAAATAATAAAACAAGAAGAAACTATCAGTTGTATTTTATTACAAATGATAAAATATATCCAAAGATATGATGTGACCCGATGATAGGGAATGCAATATACCATCTGTCCAGTATAAAATATACTTCTCTTCAAAAATATGTATGTATTAATGATTTTTTTTTCTTCATTTTTATGCTTTTTCATTTTTTTTTTCCTCTCTAATTTTACTTATATAGTGGATCTTATGTATAACACTCCTAACGAGACAAGACATGTAAAACTCAAAATCTTTATCTAAAGGTCCATTATTAATGTTCTTTAAAGCTATTGTAATCAAAATATCCATAAAGATCCATAAGAATAATATAGCTTAACTCTGATAATTGTGTTGTTCTATCCCAGTCTAATTTTCATGTATACAACAACATAAGAAAATTTGACCCAAAAAAAACAATGTTTGTTAATTTTAACACAAAAAAAAAAAGTAACACAAAAATATCTGGTGGTAATAATATCAAATTGCATTTAATATATGACTCATGATTTACTAAATGACCAAACGTATGAATTATATATATGATGTACAAATGTATTACTGTAAAGTCAGAAATAAATGTGTGCATCTCTTGAGGTTGTTTTGTTTCTTCATTTTTCAACTTCTTTTAACCTCTCTTGGTTTTTGGTCAAATATTCAGGTTTTTTTTTTTAAAGACTACCGGTATTTGGTTCTATTTATTCATCAATAAAATTAACATTGAACATTTTTTCAATCTTGCATTTATGAGGGGCCAAATAATGGCTTTTACCGTACCTTCTCTTTGTTTACTGGAATCGAGATAGATTTTATAATGAAATGTGCATGATACAATAAATTTAAACCTTTTAAATAATGCCCTTATAAACTTCCAATTTACAATAAAATGATGAATTTGTTTCTTTTTTGTCTCTTCTATGTTAATGTAGTGTTTGAATCAGATCTAAAGCATTTTTCACACATCTTTTCTGATACAATTATCTTTGGATATCTTAAGCTTGTAAAAAACTAGAAGTAAAAAAAAAATTGGAATTTAAAATAAATAGGAAATAAATAGCAAAACCTCAACTTAGATGTTGGTTCTGAAAATTAAATATGTACAATCCTGTTCTATATATTAAAATTCAAATAAATAAAATTAATTTTTAAAATAGAATATAAGGGACCATATTTCAGATTTAAAAAAAAAATCACAATGGTACTTTTTGTGCTTATAAAATGTTTATAAACATCATTTTTATAAAAAGCAACTGAAAGCTGTCCACCTATTTCTTCACATGTGTACCTTTTATGTTTACATCAACAAAAAATCTAAAACACATTGACTTAAAATTACATGTAAAAACATCATTTACAAATTTCTTCAACAGCTAATTCATAACCTGATAAGCAAATGAGTCATTTTTAATTTTCATTCTTATATTTCTCATAATTTTTTCAGCACAATTCTATTTGCTTATCCCCTGAATCAGAATACAAAAGGTATAAAGCAAAAAAAGAAATAGTAAAAAAACACACAATAACAGTTTTAACAACAAACAATTGGGGCAAGTTTGCTGTAACAATAATTTGCTGAACACTTTATACAACAGTTTGGCAATTACATGCAGAATACAACATCAAAACCTGCAAAAGTTAGATAACAATGCAAGTGAAGCACCAATTTATAGTATAAATTTTATTAAAAGTCCAAACCTATGTCATGTACCTTTTTTCATGAAAGTATGGAAATCTGTGGCTCTTTTCACACAAAAACATCTGCCTATCACAAGTTTTAATGAAATGGTTATGACTTATGACTTCATGTTTCTTTAAGATTTTTTTGTTAAAAAAACCTTTTATATGTAGTATCCATCTTAATATGTGATGATCAAGTTTCATTTCAATATCTAGCAGTTTTTCAAACAGCTTCTGTTCAAATTTTTAAAAAATGTAGGAAAATTGGTACATGTACATGCTTTGTGACATAAACAAGAGATAAGTATGAAACTGTCATGATATAACAATACAACCACTTGTATAAGTAAAAGGCACTTTTTTTTAAATAACGAAAGGACTTAAAAAAAAATTTGTTTTTAAAAAAAAAATCATATTTTTTTTACATTTTATTAAGGTATGCTAATTAATAGTAATTGGTAAAAAATATAGTTTTGATAACTTGATAATTATTATGAAAATAAATAAAAACATTTTCAAATATATATTTTCAGATCTTTAGTTGTTGTAAGCCTTATTTCAAATGTATAAACACCCCAAACAATTTTTTTTAAAGAAAATTAATCAAAGATTTTCACAAGTGATTTGATTATTTATATTAATTTTTATCACAGATGGACATATAAAAAAGAAAACTTTAAAGGAAATTCTTGAAGAATTATTTTAACAACAAAAAGACATGCAAATATTAAATCTTTTTATATATTCATAATTATTCAATTTCAGTTTGACTGAAAGTTTTTAATTCTTAAATGAATCAGTAAATATAAATACATTTATTGCTTTTGTCAAAAAAATTTTACAAAGGAAAATAAGCTGACATTTCATGATTTCTATTCGAACGACATTTTTTTTTATAAAATGATTTATTAAATTGATATTTCTGAAGCAGATATGTTAAAACCATGTCGAACTGGACACTTTTAAATGATAAAAAAAAAATATTAAACAATTTTTTTTGAAATGATAAAAAGATATTGAGTAATTTTGTTTAAATGATAATAAACAGAGACACTTAAATAAATGATACCATACTTGAAAACTAGAGTTTACATAATAGATATAACGTAATAAAACTAGAATTAACATACAGCAGTATAGATATTAGTAGTTCCAAACAGGGATAACTCTATAGCGAAAATCATATATATGGAAGGACCATATCTGTTATAGATCAGTCGTCGAAAAGTAAACTGACAATCTGCTCCAGGCTGTTATCTGAAATTTGGAATGCAAAAAAATTATTTTGCTGGTGAGCTAGAGATTAATAAACAATTCTGAAAAGTAATAAAACATTTATTACTGAACTAGTACATATTTTTGTTTAGGGGCCAGCTGAAGCACGCCTCCGGGTGCAGGATTTTCTCGCTGTATTGAAGACCCATTGGTGGCCTTCGGCTGTTTTCTGCTCTTTGGTCGGGTTGTTGTCTCTTTGACATATTCCCCATTTCCATTCTCAATTTTACTAAAAAATACTTGTTATTTGTCAGAAGTGACTAAAGAAAAGTATGAATACAATGTAAAGTTTTGATGTCCACATAATATATATATTATAATATATGATTCAATTTCTGTCTGAAGAGCCAAACATGGCATTAAGGGCTTGCAGATAATGAAGAATATTATGTAACTGGAATGTGATTTTTTCTGAATTTATTTTGAAATATATATATACTTAACAACATAAAAAACACACCACATCTTACTTTATATAGTACTTTCGCAATTTCTTCTTTTAGCTACAAATTTGTAGAAATCTAATATATTTTAAGCACAACCTTGCAATTAATGTAGAGTTGTTGGAGTAATTTCTATTTGAGTTATGACAATGAAAATTTCAATCACAAAAGTCAAAAGTATGATATATGTGAATTTTAATTAATTATTAGACAAGAAATCAATTTTCAATGGCTTATATCTCAAAAACAAGGACACAACCTTCCATTTTTTTCTGCTTCTTCAGTTTTGTTTATATACAATAAATTTATAACAGTCTTTTAAAAATTCTTGTTATTTTGAAACAATTTAAGAAATCAGAAAAAAACAAACCATGGCACCATAAGCATGATAAGCATGACAATCGCAAAGATACTAAGACCACAAGAACATGAAACATACAAGATTGATTGATAGATTGGTGTCTACTTAATGTCAAGTGGCAAGTATTTCATAGATACAAAACTTACCTGTCAGTTTGAAAAGGAACTATTGGTCAGGTTCCTTTTGGTCATCTTTTGATGATTCTACAAAATAATCATTACTTCTTTATCTTCAGTAAAACTTTATATATTTATATAAAAAAACCAAATAAATGAGGAATGTGTCCATGGGACACAGATGATGTCCCCGCTTGCATATCATATTAAGTTATAAAGGGACATAACTGAAGAACAGTAAAAGTGACGCTACCAAAATTTGTACTTGATCTGAGTTTTGCAGTAATAAGTATTGTGTATAAGTTTCATAAAATTTGGTTGAGGCAAACTTAAGTTAGAGAACGGAAACGGAAAATTCAGCAATTTTTCCGTTTGTAAAGGGGCATTACTCTAGAACGGTAAAAGTGACACCACCAAAATTCAAATATTATCTGTATTTTGTAGTAATAAGCATTGTGTATAAGTTTCATTACATTTGGTTGAGGCAACCTTAAGTTAGAGAACGGAAAGGAAAAATTCAGCAATTTTTCCATTTGTAAAGGGGCATAACTCTAGAATGGTTAAAGTGATGCCACCAAAATACAAACTTGAACTGTGTTTTGTGGTAATAAGCATTGTGTATAAGTTTCATAACATTTGGTTGAGGCAAACTAAAGTTAGAGAACGGAAACCAACTATTGGACATACGTACGGACGTACAGACGGACAAGGGTAAAACTTAATGCCCCCTCCGCTAAGGCAGGGGCATAAAAAAGGAGAGCTTAGCAATAGGTTTTGATTGTGATTATAAACATTTTTGTTAGGAAAATGCAACCATTGTCGGCAAAATAAAGCCTGAGGAATTTAAATATAAGCGCCATTTTCAAGTCGTAACCTTATCATCTACAATTTGCCAGTGACCTTTGGATACAAGTTATCTAACGGTAGTAAACCAGTTAAATCTACCAAAATCTATTGTAATTGTTCAATGACATGAATCGAACACCCAGTGGCAGTGATTGTTCATTTTGTTTCATGCTGTTGTTTAACTACTGAAGATTCACAATAGACAAAAATGTGAGATTAATAATTAAGATTTCAGGAAATGCAGCATACAACAAGAATGTGTCCATAGTACATGGATGCCCCACTTGCACTATCATTTTCTTTGTTCAGTGGACCGTGAAATTGGGGTCAAAACTCTAATTTGGCATTAAAATTAGAAAGATCATATTATAGGGAACATGTGTACTAAGTTTCAAGTTGATTGGACTTCAACTTCATCAAAAACTACCTTGACCAAAAACTTTAACCTGAAGCGGGATAAACGGAAGGACGGATGGACGAACGGACACACAGACCAGAAAACATAATGCTCCTACTACTATAGTAGGTGGGGCATAAAAAGTGGAGAATGTGTCCATGGGAGACAGATGATGCCCCCACTTGCATAGAACATTATAAAGCTTAAAAGGGGCATAACTCGAGAACAGTAAAAGTGAAGCCACCCAAATTGGAACTTGAACTGTGTTTTGTGGTAATAAACAATTTTTATAAGTTTCATAAAATTTGGTGGAGGCAAACTAAAGTTAGAGAATGGAAACCAAATTTGGGACGTGCGTACGTACGGACAAAGATTACACTTAATGCCCTCTCCGGTGACAGAGGGGGCATAAAAACATAAATAAATGGGGAATGTGTCCATGGGACACAGATGATGCCCCCGCTTGCATATAAAGTTATAAAGGGATATAACTCAAGAACTGTAAAAGTGACGCTACCCTAATTTGAACTTTATCTGAGTTTGTGGTAATAAGCATTGTGCATAAGTTTCATAACATAAGGTTGAGGCAAACTAAAGTTAGAGAACAGAAACACACATATTTCAGCAATTTTTCCATTTGTAAAGGGGCATAACTCTAGAATGATAAAAGTGACTCCACCAATATTCAAACTTGACCTGTGTTATGTGGTAATAAGCATTGTGTATAAGTTTCATAACATTTAGTTGAGGCAAACTAAAGTGAGAGAACAGAAACGAAAAATTCAGCAATTTTTCCATCTGTAAAGGGGTATAACTCTAGAACGGAAAAAGTGATGCCACCAAAATTGAAACTTGATCTGTATTTTGTGGTAATAAGCATTGTGTATAAGTTTCATAACATTTAGTTGAGGCAAACTAAAATTAGAGAACAGAAACCAATTTTGGTACGTACATACAGACGGACAAGGGTAAAACTTAATGCCCCCTCCGCTACGGCGGGGGCATAAAAATGCTATAAAAATTTAAAATACAATTTTGCTATGTAAAGATTTACCATACCATAACACTTGGTTCAGATGAAATGTTTGTTTTTTTTGTGTTCAGAAGTAATCTTTATACATGATATAGGAAAATGTTATTTTACTATTGTCATGATGATGTAAGATTGCAATTGGTGTTTAACATGTCCAGTAGCAAATATTACATGTCAGGACGTGAACATGTTTTTTTTTATATGATCATGAATCCTGCTTTGTACAAGACCAACATGCTGAGCTAGATTTTCAACATGCTAGCTTACAGAGATCAAGTCTACGGTTTAAAATATAACCCTACAGAGAGACATTATTCTGACTATGAGCTGACCTTCTAAACTAAATGTCCCATACTTAGTGAAGAAGCAGCAAATACCAATTTTCAAGAGTGGTTCAACCCAGCTGAATCCCTAGTCATGAGCAGTCACAGCAAGTACCCGCTTTGCCTAAATCAAATTGACCTTTTTTACATCTAAATAAGATGATCAGATAATAAGAAAATAAGCAAAGTAATTCAACATAATCTCAGGACAAAAACCTGATAAATTATTCAAATATTGATGTTTTCTTACCTTCTAATATTTTATCATTGACAAAGTCTTCATTAGTCTCTTTGTCGGCCATCTGCTCCATGGTGCCAGCTCCTGAACAGCTGTCATCCACAGCCATTGTGTCCTCTGTATCAATTTCTTTGGTGTCTGTGGCACCAACTGCTACAGTATTATCGGTTCCAACCAATGTGGTGTCCTCAGAACCAACTTCTGTGGTGTCCTTGGAACCAAACTCTGTGGTGTCCTTGGAACCAACTTCTGTGGTGTCCTTGGAACCAACTACTGTAGTGTCCTCAGAACCTACTACTGTGGTGTCCTTGGTACCAACCTCTGTGGTGTCTTTGTCACCAACTACTGAGGTGTCCTCGGAACCACCTTCTGATTTGGAAGTGTTGTCTCCAACACTTTCCTCCTTAGTAGCATTATCTCCACCACTTACAGATCCAGAGGTGTCTACCTCTCTCGTCACAACACCCTCTGCTGAGGTGTTGTCTTTGCCTTTACTGGCAGTTTCTGAATGGGCTTTTTGATCTTTATCATCATCATTACTTGATGAAGTACTTAAATCCTCCTTGGATTTTATCAATGAATCAGTTTCCTTTGAACTATCCATTTTAACTTTGCCTCCTTCCTGGAGGTCATTTTGTCCTTTTGACACTTCAGTGTTCTTTCTGACCTTTTGGTCAGTTCCATCTTTGGCCTCCTGACCACTAGTGTCTTCACTGACCTTTTGGTCAGTGGTGTCTTGACCACTCATTTCACAACCTTCCTTTTTTTTCTCTGTTCCCTTTTGGTCATTAGCTGTTTCATTATCTGAAACTTGCTGACTTGTTTTAGATTTTTGTCCCACATTTTTATCATCATTTTTCTTAGAGCTGCTTTTGTTCTGTTCTTCTGTTTTTGATCTTTGACCATTTTGTCCGTGTTTTGTTTTTAAACGTTTTTCTCTGGGTGACCTTGAAGAAGGCGATGATAATGGAGATGTTGGTGTAAATTCTGGTGCATCTGGATTGAGCTGAGTATTAACTGTCAATTGATTACCATGGTAACCTTCCCTTGAATCTGTTGATGTCTGACTCTTTTCCGTTGAATAGAACGAGTCATCGTCACAATCCTCCCACTCATCCTCATCATCACCAACAACAAGTTCATGTGTATCTTCTTCACCCTCATGCTCCCCATCATCAAAAAGAGGTCTATGTTCCAGAACATCATCACCCTCTAGACCATCCTGAATCAAACTCATTGTTAAATCGTCATCCTCATCCCACCACAACTCTTCTGTCTGAGCTCCATGAGAAGCTGTTCCAGTGGCTCCACCCCTTTTTTGTTTTCCGTTTGAAGATTTCCTCACTGGGGCCTCACCATCAGAATATTCCACCTCAACACTATTATCTCCAGGTGTATTATCTAACTTGATCACTAGTAAATCTGAATCACAATTAACCACACGATCATCACCAGATGACGTTGACCTTACTCTCTGGGGTTTAGCTTCATTGGCAGACTTGGCCTTACCCCTTCCCCTGCCTCTGCCACGCCCAGCCATTCTTGGTGGGGTTTCAGGATGTCTGTTTCCTCGTCCTTTCAGTGGGGCCTCTCCTCTGGTCTTTGTTGGTGTTTCAGGTCTTTGACGTCCTTTATCTGAACTTCCCCTAGGAGCTTCTTCTGGAGAAACTAAGACAAAAATAATAAAAACCAGAAATGAATTACATGGGAAAAGGAGACAATTTCAAAAGTCCGTTTTAAACAATTTAACCTCAGATTTACAACTAAACCCAGACTGAAATTTCCTGCATCCAAGACTTTTGTAGGTCTAACATTAAAGTTTCATTCTGTAATTGTTATTTCTAGAGGAATACATATTACACATTGCTAATTTTTTTCTTCTTCTGTATTAAACATGGTAAAGGATAAGCACAATATTCCAGTAGAATATATATATGTCCTCCAATAAAATTCATATTACAAAATAACAGTGATTCCAAATGGAAATTAGTGACAAAAAAATGAATTAATTTAAACTTGGATTGTCAAAAATTTTATAAATATATGAGAAAATTGCTCATAATTACGCATGTAAATATATTTGATTCAACAAACTTTGTAATGAGTGTACAAGAGTAGCCTTCATGACCTATCAATTTTTAAAAATATGTGAGTCTTCAGAGGAAGACATGTGTCGCCTATTATCTTTAAATAATTCAAGTGCAGTGCATGTTTTCATACAGGAAATCCCCAAAAATTACTGTTCCAAAATTGAAATAGCAGAACTTACTGCTCTGTAAAGAATCTATGCTAGTGGAATTCTGTCCAGTTGTTCTCAAAGAGTTACAGATTAACAAAAAGTGTGATACCTTTGTGTTGCATAATGTTGTAAAGATACACGATAAAGTCTCTTCTAAAAGCCAATGTTTTTCCAGGAACGGTTCCTGGTACAATTTGACCTAGCTTTAACCCCTGCATTTTTCAGCATGCAGGATAAAATGTCAGTTCTCGGCAGCAAAATATTCAACATAAAAATAACATACTCTGAAGCAAAATATACACATCAACATAAATGTTATAAAATTACCATGAGAGTCATATACCTAGGCTTTATTACAAATGGTAAATGCAGCAGATTATAAAATAATGAACATAATTCTAACATTCATTGATTCCATTCCCTGGTGTCTGATTTAAAAGCACTGATACCAAGTTTTTTTATTATCAAATTATCCTTTAATCCCAATTTAATTACTGTATTACTGGTAATCTGACTTGACTGGTAGTAGCATGAAATAAGTTGCATAATTCCAGGATGTTCTGTTCAGGAATAAAATTAAAATGGAACCGATTTTAAAGTCTTATATATTTCCCCATGTAAATATACAACAAAAATATTATGGTCCAAATGTGATGTGAGGGTGAGGTAGCCTTTAAATATAGTACATTATACATGAACTACATGGTTTTTTTTTACCAAAATGTCCTGTTATAGTTAATATTCATCTCCCTTTTTACTGTGTATTATCAGGATTAAGTTTTAGGCTAAGTGCTTAATCCAAGATTTTGAAATAAAGGTTTTAATATACTGTTACTTCCATACTAATTATACAAACTGATCAAATACTGTAAATTCAGAAATTATTGCATGTATTTATTTTTGCAATTTTTGAAAAATGGACAAAAATGTGAGATTAATTATTGCAATTTCAAGAAAATTTGAAGACAGATATATATGCAATGTTCTCCTCATGGCCTTTTAGCATCATGGTAATGTGATGCTATATTGCTTGAATGTGATGCTATCTGAAATTTGCTTCTTATGGAGAGTGTTATGAATGTGATGCTATATTTTTTAGAAACAATAAGGTATTTTATAATTCTCGTTCACCAGGATGATATAAGAAATTTCAGAGGAGAACACTGTATATGTATCAGATATATAAGAATGCAAGTTCTTATTATTGCAATAATCACCAAGTCACATAATTCACATTAATAAATACCTCACAATAATTTTTGAATTTACAGAACACATAAAAAAAATATTTTATCAAACTTTTGATTGACTGACTGTTGCTAAATGTCTAGCAGAAAATATTACATGCATCTTTAGGAGGATGAAATGTTAATGAGGTATGCTATACTCTGCTTTGTACTAGCATAGGCTCTCACACAAGGTAAATGTTCTCAGGAAGACAGATCATCATACTTAGACACAACTTTCTGACTCCAGGTCCTTTCTCCTAAGTCCATTTGCTTGGCGTTGCAAAGAACCAATTTTATCGTCTGGTTTGACCCAGAGCAGAATCAAACCCACAATCTACATTCAAGTTGACCATGCTACCACAAGACCACAGAGACAGTTACAAACTTTGAAGACAGTAATGTATGATCCTGGAATAATACTTCAATTGTGCATATAACCTTTCCAACATCAACAAGAAATGATTGTAACAGGATGCTGTTACGAAGTCTCCCAAACGAAGCTCCCATAATTCCTAATTCCCAGGGTCGCCTGACATTGGGCAAAGTCTAGTGAAAATTGGTTTGGTCCAGTAAAGTTATATGCGTTAGTGATGCCTGGGGACTAACCCTGTATATCATTCAAATCATATTGGTATGACAAACCAGAATATATATGGTTTAGGGGTGGGGATCTCGACCATTTACAAGATATTACAACTTTCTCAAATGGCAGGGGGTCGGGATGATCCCTGGGGACTAACCCTGTATATCATTCAAACCATCTTAGCATGACAAACCAGAATATATATGGTTTAGGGGTGGGGATCTTGACCACTTACAAGATATTAGAACTTTCTTAAATGGCATAGGGTGGGGGTGACCCCTGGGGACTAACCCTGTATTTCATTTGATTTGCTTTATCATGACAAACAAGAATATATATGGTTTAGGGGTGGGGATCTCGACCATTTACAAGATATTACAACTTTCTCAAATGGCAGGGGGTCGGGATGACCCCTGGGGACAAACCCTGTATATCATTCAAACCATCTTAGCATAACAAACCAGAATATATATGGTTTAGGGGTGGGGATCTTGACCACTTACGATATTAGAACTTTCTTAAATGGCATAGGGTGGGGGTGACCCCTGGGGACTAACCCTGTATTTCATTTGATTTGCTTTATCATGACAAACAAGAATATATATGGTTTAGGGGTGGGGATCTCGACCATTTACAAGATATTACAACTTTCTCAAATGGCAGGGGGTCGGGATGACCCCTGGGGACAAACCCTGTATATCATTCAAACCATCTTAGCATGACAAACCAGAATATATATGGTTTAGGGGTGGGGATCTTGACCACTTACGATATTAGAACTTTCTTAAATGGCATAGGGTGGGGGTGACCCCTGGGGACTAACCCTGTATTTCATTTGATTTGCTTTATCATGACAAACCAGAATATATATGGTTTAGGGGTAGGGATCTCGACCATTTACAAGATATTACAACTTTCTCAAATGGCAGGGGGTTGGGATGACCCCTGGGGACTAACCCTGTATATCATTCAAACCATCTTAGCATGACAAACCAGAATATATATGGTTTAGGGGTGGGGATCTTGACCACTTACAAGATATTAGAACTTTCTTAAATGGCATGGGGTGGGGGTGACCCCTGGGGACTAACTCTGTATTTCATTTCATGTGCTTTATCAAGACAAACCAGAATATATATGGTTTAGGGGTGGGGATCTCGACCATTTACAAGATATTACAACTTTCTCAAATGGCAGGGGGTCAGGATGACCCCTGGGGACTAACCCTGTATATCATTCAAACCATCTTAGCATGACAAACCAGAATATATATGGTTTAGGGGTGGGGATCTCGACCATTTACAAGATATTAGAACTTTCTCAAATGGCAGGGGGTCGGGATGACCCCTGGGGACTAACCCTGTATATCATTCAAACCATCTTAGCATGGCAAACCAGAATATATATGGTTTAGGGGTGGGGATCTTGACTACTTACAAGGTATTAGAACTTTCTTAATTGGCAGGGGGTGGGGGTGACCCCTGGGGACTAACCCTGTATTTCATTTAATGGGTTTTATCATTTAGAACATTTTCAATTAAAAAGATTGTGTCTATTACAAACGGTTTTAAATTTATAATCATTTGAAAATTTAAAAAAATAAAATCCCATAGGGTTCTATAGTAAAACCCTCTTTTCTTTTTGCCCCTCAAAGTACCCCTTTATAAACCCCACTGCACAAACAAAACCCTGATTGCACCACTAGACATGTTAGTCTAACATATTGTGAAACCCTAAGTTAATCTGACAAGCGGTTTTGGAGAACAGGTGCGGACAAGTTCAAATTTAAAAGCGGCGGAAGAGGAAGAGGAAGAGGAAGAGGAAGAGGAAGAATAATAATAATAATAATAAGAACTGAGCAAAAACAATAAGTCTTCCCAAACTTCGTTTGGGAGACTTAATTACCAGTTAGTCAAGCAACTGTATCCCTGTACTCTATGAAAGCTATTGTATTGTAGCCTCCTAATCATAATAGATGTTGAGTGTATGGCGATTAGGTAGTAAAAAACAACATGTATTCAAAAGTCATCTAGAGGTCAATATATAGTCTTCAACAACAGAAAAGTGATTAGATATGATATGCACAAGTCTAGGTGACATAAAAAATCTTAACACCACCAAATTCTACAAATGAGAAAAATACATTAAGATGTATAAAATTTTCCCCTGTGTTTACAATTGACTGGATGTATAAAATCCAAACTTTGCATTCACCAACATAAAATTTTTTGACAGAATAAAGAATATTCTGGCTTTACCCAAATTTCTAACATAAATTGGCTCTTGAGGATGAAAAAACAAATAGCAAACATTTCAAAAAATGTATTCTTTTTTCCAGTGTATTCAAAACATACATGGAAAAGAAAGGACAAGGGATATAAATTCATCTCACAAAATCACTACATGCACTAGACAAAACCAAAAGCAAACAAAAGGGTTTTTATTGCTGTTCTTCATCTTGAAGTCACAGTGAGGCTATCAATACTGATAAAACACTCTCACTTCACTGTAAGTTCAAGATGGTCCCTAGCGTAGGTTTAAGCAGAAATTAAACTTGCTTTTAACAACTGCAAATGTGCAAATGCTTAAAATGTCTTTTTTCTTACAGCAATCTTCCTAACGGTATTATTTTGATTGTTTTAGGAAGATGATAAATTTATGAAGCCACTGCCATATATGATATTTAGGAAAAGCTGTTAGATCTGTTTAAGGAAAGGCTTATTAACTGAGTATTACTGAATATATCTAATAACCAAACTGATATGAAGTATGAGGAATTTATAAATTAATGATGACAAAATAAACGAGCCTAAAAATGTGATTATAAATAAGTCACATGCTCTACACATTCATTATTAAAAATGTGGCTAAATAAAGACGGTAAAGGAGCCATGCCAGTGTACCTGTACCTTTCTGTCTCTCATCCTTCTCACCTCGGTCAAATCGACCACTTCCAATACGACCAGCTTTAACCAGAAATCATATTTAATATTATTATATGACTATAAAATTTCTCTTTTCTCATTGATTAAAAGTATAGGGAGTTTTCTTTTATATCAGTTGATACAATGATTTATCAAAACCAAAGAGATACCACATTCAACCTCGGCCATTGGTCTCAGTGAATATCATATCTCTAGGGTTGATAAATCATTATATCAACCTTATTAAAAGTTAATAGTTGTATATTAATGTATTCTTCCTTAGGACATACCTTTAGTAAACAACTCCTCTCATCTGTACACTATATATTAATAATGGTTTACAATTCTTTGTAACAAATCACAGTTTTCTGAGTATAATATTATATCTGAAGATTCTAGCATGTAAATTATTTTTTTGGTAAAATAAAAATGTTTATGAACCAGCTATATACTTTTCAAACAAAAAAACTCACCATGTTGACCTCTGATAATAGCATGGATATTACTTAAAAGATGTAAGAAAGTATAAAAAGAACCAGTTGTATTTCTACAAAGAAAGTGTACAATATCACAGATCCTGCTAATCTTTCAAAGTTATAAGAATAACAATAATTTTTCTTTAATTAAACAAGATGATTTGTATGTAAGACATAAATGGCAAAATAATGCAAGCCCCCTCCCCCCCTCCCCACAAAAAAAAAATTAAAATAAAAAAAGTAGGACAATGTTTCTCAGTAACCCCTTTATTCTGGAACAGCTCTGTGCCTTTGTAAGGAGTCTGTAATGGTGAACAAGGGTAAAATATATATATAAAATTTGATGTGTGCTTCAATAACATCAAGTTTTAGAACAATAAACATGCATGTAAATGAAAAACTTAACCAAAGTCATTCAAGTGTTGAATGAAGGTCTAAGTGATCCAAATGTCGCTGAAATATATATCAAAACAGGTATTCTTTTTTAATAAACTGTTAACACAGAGATATGTCTCGCCTATTTGTTATTTTGATAATGCAAATGTTGAAATTAAAATAGCAATACTTTAACATGTAAGTTATGCATATTTTAAAAGTCGATAAACCATGACTAAAGGTACAGGGCTAAACATTCTCCATGTGATTGAGATGTGCCAATGCTAATACAATTGCATACCAAATACCATTGACTTTTCATAAGTCGTTCCCTTCAAACAAACAAATATAACTTCTAAACTATGTAAAAGTTTCAAAGTCAATGAACCATAATGAGGGGGTGGGGTTATATAATCTCCATGGAAATGAAACTTGCAAATGCCAATACATTTGCATACCAAATACCATTGACTTAACATTAGTTGTTCATCTTAAACTGACCTAATCACAAACTAATATATTTAAACTAAGCAAAAGTTTCATAGTCAATAAACCATAACTGAGGGGTAAGGACCAAATATTCTCCATGGAAATGAGATGTGTTACTGCTTATTCAACTGCATACAAATTATCATTGACCTACCACTAATGGTTCCCCTTAAACTGACCTAATCACAAACTTATACATGTAAACTAAGCAAAGTTTCAAAGTCAATAGACCATGACTGAGGGGTAAGGACCAAATATTCTCCATGGAAATGAGATGTGCTACTGCTTATACAACTGCATACCAAATATCATTGACCTACCACTAGTGGTTCCCCATAAACTGACCTAATCACAAACTAATACATGTAAACTAAGCAAAGTTTCAAAGTCAATAGACCATGACTGAGGGGGCGGGGCCTTATAATCTCCATGGTAATGAGATGTTCCAATGCCAATACAACTGCATACCAAATATCATTGACCTGCCACTGTTCACCATAAACTAGACCTAATCACAAACTAATACATTGTTCATGTCGCCGCAGCCGGAAACAGCATACCTATGTCTCGCTTTTTGACTTAGTCAAGGCGAGACAATAAAATGGACTTAAATCAACTTTAACAAAAGATTTTTGTAAAAGTTAACAGACGACGGACAACGAGGGATGAAGGATGACAAGTGATGGGAAAAGCTCACTTGGCCCAAAAAGGTGAGCTAAAAAGGAAGTTTTATGAAATTTCACATTTGAATCTTTAATGACAGCAATAGGTTTTAGCTTAAATTGGCTTAAATTGGAATTTTTATCTTTTATCAAGTTTATAGTTCAAGCAAGTATTCTGATTAGTGGTGTACTATAGTGAAGTACGTACTTATCAAAATACTTGCTTGAACATTAAATTTGATAAAAGACAAAAATTTCCAATGCCTCTCCCTCTTTATGTCCAAATTTTATCTGTCTAAGGGATATAATTTATATTTCTAAGAGACTAACTCTTGTAAATTTATTGATCTGCATCAATTTTCAAACTGGTCTGATTTCATAATAAAATGCTAATTGGGCACAGCTTGATACGACCGCAGAGCTTGATACAGCACTGAATTTGGATTGGGATTAAATATTTGACACAGCATAGGTTTCTGACACAGAATGAATGTGGTCTAAGAACTTGAAATTTTTTAATTTACCTATTCAAACCATATCATTATTATTTGCTTTTATATATAAATCAGAAATAACCAACTTAAAATGGAAAATTTTAAAGAAAACTAGAGGCTCTCAAGAGCCTGTGTCGCTCACCTGACTCTACTTTGGTTTTAGAAATCATGTAAAGATAGATAAAAATCATAACAGATACCCAAATAATGATTGAGGCCAAATTTTGATTAATATTGGTCCCGTTATTTAATAAAATATCCTGGTGGCCATCTTGAACAGTAAATCGGCAACAAAGTAGCAACACTTGGTCAGCACTTCATAAGGAACATTCATGCCATGTTTGGTTTCATTCCATTCAGTGGTACTCTAAAAGAAGACATTTGTATGTATTTCCCATAGGGTCCTATGTTAAACTAAGCCCCCCCCCTAGCGGCCATCTTGGATGATGGATCGACTGCAAAGTAACAACACTTGGTCAGCAACTCATAAGGAACATTCATGCCATGTTTGGTTCAATTCCATTCAGTGGTTCTCTAAAAGAAGACAATTGTATGTATTTCCCATAGGGTCCTATGTTAAACTAAGTCCCCCGCTGTCGGCCATCTTGGATGATGGATCGGCTGCAAAGTAACAACACTTGGTCAACATCTCATAAGGAACATTCATGCCATGTTTGGTTTCATTCCATTCAGTGGTTCTCTAAAAGAAGACATTTGTATGTATTTCCCATAGGGTCCTATGTTAAACTAAGTTCCCCGATGGCGGCCATCTTGGATGATGGATCGGCTACAAAGTAACAACACTTGGTCAGCACCTCATAAGGAACATTCATGCCATGTTTGGTTTCATTCCATTCAGTGGTTCTCTAAAAGAAGACATTTGTATGTTTTTCTCATAGGGTCCTATGTTAAACTAAGTCCCCCGCTGGCGGCCATCTTGGATGATGGACCGACTGCAAAGTAACAACACTTGGTCAGCATCTCATAAGGAACATTCATGCCATGTTTGGTTTTATTCCATTCAGTGGTTCTCTAAAAGAAGACAATTTTATGTATTTCCCATAGGGTCCTATGTTAAACTAAGTCCTCCGCTGGCGGCCATCTTGGATGATGGATCGGCTACAAAGTAACAACACTTGGTCAGCACCTCATAAGGAACATTCATGCCATGTTTGGTTTCATTCCATTCAGTGGTTCTCTAAAAGAAGACATTTGTATGTATTTCCCATAGGGTCCTATGTTAAACTAAGTTCCCCGATGGCGGCCATCTTGGATGATGGATCGGCTACAAAGTAACAACACATGGTCAGCACCTCATAAGGAACATTCATGCCATGTTTGGTTTTATTCCATTCAGTGGTTCTCTAAAAGAAGTCATTCGTATGCATTTCCCATAGGGTCCTATGTTAAACTAAGTCCCCCGCTGGCGGCCATCTTGGATGATGGATCGGCTACAAAGTAACAACACTTGGTCAGCACCTCATAAGGAACATTCATGCCATGTTTGGTTTCATTCCATTCAGTGGTTCTCTAAAAGAAGTCATTTGTATGCATTTCCCATAGGGTCCTATGTTAAACTAAGTCCCCCGCTGGCGGCCATCTTGGATGATGGATCGGCTACAAAGTAACAACACTTGGTCAGCACCTCATAAGGAACATTCATGCCATGTTTGGTTTCATTCCATTCAGTGGTTCTCTAAAAGAAGACATTTGTATGTTTTTCTCATAGGGTCCTATGTTAAACTAAGTCCCCCGCTGGCGGCCATCTTGGATGATGGACCGACTGCAAAGTAACAACACTTGGTCAGCATCTCATAAGGAACATTCATGCCATGTTTGGTTTTATTCCATTCAGTGGTTCTCTAAAAGAAGACAATTTTATGTATTTCCCATAGAGTCCTATGTTAAACTAAGTCCTCCGCTGGCGGCCATCTTGGATGATGGATCGCCTACAAAGTAACAACACTTGGTCAGCACCTCATAAGGAACATTCATGCCATGTTTGGTTTCATTCCATCCAGTGGTTATCTAAAAGAAGACATTTGTATGTATTTCCCATAGGGTCCTATGTTAAACTAAGTTCCCCGATGGCGGCCATCTTGGATGATGGATCGGCTACAAAGTAACAACACATGGTCAGCACCTCATAAGGAACATTCATGCCATGTTTGGTTTTATTCCATTCAGTGGTTCTCTAAAAGAAGTCATTCGTATGCATTTCCCGTAGGGTCCTATGTTAAACTAAGTCCCCCGCTGGCGGCCATCTTGGATGATGGATCGGCTACAAAGTAACAACACTTGGTCAGCACCTCATAAGGAACATTCATGCCATGTTTGGTTTCATTCCATTCAGTGGTTCTCTAAAAGAAGTCATTTGTATGCATTTCCCATAGGGTCCTATGTTAAACTAAGTCCCCCGCTGGCGGCCATCTTGGATGATGGATCGGCTACAAAGTAACAACACTTGGTCAGCACCTCATAAGGAACATTCATGCCATGTTTGGTTTCATTCCATTCAGTGGTTCTCTAAAAGAAGACATTTGTATGTATTTCCCATAGGGTCCTATGTTAAACTAAGTTCCCCGATGGCGGCCATCTTGGATGATGGATCGGCTACAAAGTAACAACACATGGTCAGCACCTCATAAGGAACATTCATGCCATGTTTGGTTTCATTCCATTCAGTGGTTCTCTAAAAGAAGTCATTCGTATGCATTTCCCATAGGGTCCTATGTTAAACTAAGTCCCCCGCTGGCGGCCATCTTGGATGATGGATCGGCTACAAAGTAACAACACTTGGTCAGCACCTCATAAGGAACATTCATGCCATGTTTGGTTTCATTCCATTCAGTGGTTCTCTAAAAGAAGTCATTTGTATGCATTTCCCATAGGGTCCTATGTTAAAATAAGTCCCCCGCTGGCGGCCATCTTGGATGATGGATCGGCTACAAAGTAACAACACTTGGTCAGCACCTCATAAGGAACATTCATGCCATGTTTGGTTTCATTCCATTCAGTGGTTCTCTAAAAGAAGACATTTGTATGTTTTTCTCATAGGGTCCTATGTTAAACTAAGTCCCCCGCTGGCGGCCATCTTGGATGATGGACCGACTGCAAAGTAACAACACTTGGTCAGCATCTCATAAGGAACATTCATGCCATGTTTGGTTTTATTCCATTCAGTGGTTCTCTAAAAGAAGACAATTTTATGTTTTCCCATAGGGTCCTATGTTAAACTAAGTCCTCCGCTGGCGGCCATCTTGGATGATGGATCGGCTACAAAGTAACAACACTTGGTCAGCACCTCAGAAGGAACATTCATGCCATGTTTGGTTTCATTCCATCCAGTGGTTCTCTAAAAGAAGACATTTGTATGTATTTCCCATAGGGTCCTATGTTAAACTAAGTTCCCCGATGGCGGCCATCTTGGATGATGGATCGGCTACAAAGTAACAACACATGGTGAGCACCTCATAAGAAACATTCATGCCATGTTTGGTTTTATTCCATTCAGTGGTTCTCTAAAAGAAGTCATTCGTATGCATTTCCCATAGGGTCCTATGTTAAACTAAGTCCCCCGCTGGCGGCCATCTTGGATGATGGATCGGCTACAAAGTAACAACACTTGGTCAGCACCTCATAAGGAACATTCATGCCATGTTTGGTTTCATTCCATTCAGTGGTTCTCTAAAAGAAGTCATTCATATGCATTTCCCATAGGGTCCTATGTTAAACTAAGTCCCCCGCTGGCGGCCATCTTGGATGATGGATCGGCTACAAAGTAACAACACTTGGTCAGCACCTCATAAGGAACATTCATGCCATGTTTGGTTTCATTCCATTCAGTGGTTCTCTAAAAGAAGTCATTTGTATGCATTTCCCATAGGGTCCTATGTTAAACTAAGTCCCCCGCTGGCGGCCATCTTGGATGATGGATCGGCTACAAAGTAACAACACTTGGTCAGCACCTCATAAGGAACATTCATGCCATGTTTGGTTTCATTCCATTCAGTGGTTCTCTAAAAGAAGTCATTTGTATGCATTTCCCATAGGGTCCTATGTTAAACTAAGTCCCCCGCTGGCGGCCATCTTGGATGATGGATCGGCTACAAAGTAACAACACTTGGTGAGCACCTCATAAGGAACATTCATGCCATGTTTGGTTTCATTCCATTCAGTGGTTCTCTAGAAGAAGTTCAAAATGTAAAAAGTTAACGCCGACGACGGACGACGCCGGACGACGGACGCCAAGTGATGAGAAAAGCTCACTTGGCCCTTCGGGCCAGGTGAGCTAAAAAAGGAAAAGAAAATCCCCCCTCAAATTTTTTGAACCCCCTTAATATTCATCACCCCCAAACTCAATCCCAGCCTTTCCTTTGTGGTATGGTACCTTGCAGTACAATTTCAGAGAGATCCGTACACTTGAACACAAGTTATTGTCTGGAAACTAGAAAAATGCTTGTTTTTTGGCCCCTTTTTGACCCCAAATTCCTAAAAATTTAAGGCAATTACCCCCAAACTCAAACCCAGCTTTCCCTTTGTGATATGGAACCTTGTAGTACAATTTCATAAAGATCCATACACTTACACACAAGTTATGTCTGGAAGTTACAAAAATGCTTATTTTTGGCCCCTTTTTGGCCCCTAATTCCTTAACTGTTGGTACCATAACCCCCAAAATCAATCCCAACCTTCCTTTTGTGGTATTGAACCTTATGGTAAAATTTCATAGAGATCCATTCACTTTAACTAAAGTTAGAGTGCGAAAACCAATGTGTCTTCGGACGACGACGATGAAGACAACGCCAACGTATACCAATATACGACCGCAAAATTTGTTTGCGGTCGTATAAAAAATCAAACAAATATTGCACACACGAGGGCTCTGAAAAGATCACAGGACAGATGCCTGGACACAAATCCAAGTATTTCGATCCCTGGACACAAATCCCAGTATTTCTATGTCCCCTGCAATGTGTTTCAGCTATCAAAATTAAAAGGTAAGATGGCGCATTTTGAAATTTGTCTATTAAAATTAAATTTCTATTGTAATTCTTAGAATGAATCTAATGCAGTTTGGGTAATATCAATTTATCTTTTGAGGTTGTGATTAATTTTTGAGGGCCTCAGGGAAGATTAGTAATTGTAACTAACTGTGTTTACCCTCTTTAAATATATTATTATTATCAAAGCATATACCAGTACATAGCGAGTGGTTTACAATGTCCTAAACAATGCATGTACAGCCAATGCAATAACATTATTCTCATTTTGGTCAAGAAGAATGAAATGACCCAGATTTCTTTAGTTCTGAGTTAGGAATGTGATTCAATAATTTTTCTAACCTGGTCTTTTTGCTGGTTCTGTTTGTTTTGCTTCATCAGATCTAAAAATATAACAAAATCATGTCCATGTAGAATAGAATAAAAAAATATAACAAAATCATGTCCGTGTAGAAAAGAATAAAAAATATAACAAAATCATGTCCGTGTAGAAAAGAATAAAAAATATAACAAAATCATGTCCATGTAGAATAGAATAAAAAATATAACAAAATCATGTCCATGTAGAATAGAATAAAAAATATAACAAAATCATGTCCATGTAGAATAGAATAAAAAATACACTCAAGGGACGATAAAAAATTAAAAGTCAAAGTAACATCAACATGTACAAAACCTTGGCAAAAAGCAGAAGACAAACAACAGTCCACAAAAACACTTCATAGAAAACTTAAGACTGAGCAACACGAACCTTACCAAAAACTGGAGGAGATCTCAGGTCCTCTCAAAGAGCAAATTGATCCTGCTCAACATATAGCACCCTACCTGTTACTCATGGCAAGTACAAACTTGGTAAAAAATCTCATAAAATCTGTCACAATCATGATATCTGTTTAACTGTACATGACAGATGTATTGTTGTATTAAATAAAGTTTGAACATAGTAAGCCCTAATCACAACCTAAACACAATGATGACACAACCAACTCCAATGCCAGAAACAGCACAACTTATCTATGCAGTCAAAGATAAAAATGACAAACTGTTTCTAATCCTATTCTTTGAAGAGTAACTATGGGGACAGCTGATCTTAGGATACTGTATATTCAGAAGTTATTGCATGAATTTATTATTGCGATCTACGAAGAATGGACGATAATGCGAGATTAGTTATTGCGATTTAAGGAAATTCTGTATACAGATCGATGCATATATCAGATATCAGAATTAGAGTTCTAATTATTGCGATACTAACCCAGTCGCACTATTCACATTAATAAAAACCTCAAAATAATTTCTGGATTTACAGTAGCAAGATATTTTGATTTGCAATATCAGAAAATGTTTGCTTCATATTTTTACAGAATAAACTAAAATATTGGATTTAATGTGTTTATATGTAAAACACCTTCAATATATCATGTTTGGATGACTGTTATTTCTACAGATATAATAGGCATATCTTTAACATCTTTATTTCTTTATCTTACAAAATTTTTTTCTATTCCTGTTCTCCAGGGAAAAAAACCCATCTGTACTTTTCTTATCGTTGAACTTACTAAATCTTTTCTGTGTTCCCTTTTTTTAAGGAAAGAATTTCTGCTTTATCTTCAATATTATGTAACTGTTTTGATTTTTCTAATTTTCCATGTAATAATTGATGTCTTTTGTACTTACTGTATATTAAAAACATATTGCTTAAACTCATATGATGGATATTCTTTAGAAAAGAAATTTTCTCCTTAAATTCCTTGTTTCGTTACTTACTCAAATTTTTCTTTATCCCACTCTCGTTTCCATTCTCCAGAAGAAGATTTTTGTCTTTCTATCCTGGCATTATCTACACGATCCCTGTCAGCTTTCCATTCCATATACTCTCTTCTTTCTTTCCCTGTCATAGTGACGGTCATTTCAAACTTTGATTTAGGAGGTCCATTTCTATTCTGTAGAAGAAAGCAATAGAAAAATAGTCATTTAAAACCAACTTTTATGTACCTTTTGGAAGTTCAATGTTGCATATTAAAAGGGGAGCAAATCATCTTATATGTATCTTTTGTTAAATCACTGTTCAAGATTGAAAAGGAGCAGGTTGAGTTCTAATAAATTAAAGGCTCCAAAGAGCCTGCGTAGGTCAATGTAGGTAGCTCACCTGCATCTAATCAAAAAAATTTGACCCTGTCCTTAGTCAGTCATATCACAATGGGTTTTCTGTAATTTTGTAACTTTCTTTTTCACAGATATTTAAAAGTTTACCATTCCAAATGTACTGTAAACAAACATATTTTTGTGGATACTTTATTTTGCCTTTAGCCCTTTCTAGCCAACTTTGCGGTGATTTAATTTCGTGACTTTCAAATTTACTTAATGCAGTTAAATAAGGAACAATGCAAGTTTTATATATTCGTGACAATTTATATTCACTTATTTTTCTACTGGCGAAAGTAGCGAAAATAAATCGCTCGCAAAAATTAGTTGGTTTACAGTATCTCTATTGTTGATAATTACCATGGTAGCACTTTGTCTAGCCTGCACACCAAATATACTGAGTGCCAATAAAGATGCATAATGCCCATAAAAAGATCTAGAACAGTGTTTTCTCACATCAATTTAAAGTGGAAGTGAAATTTTGTTGATAATTTTAAAAGAATGAAATCCTGGAATCTCAAAAATTACAAAAAATATTTAAAAAAAAAAATACCTGCATTATCATATAAACAAATCATTCAGATTTTCATTTTTATTGCATCATAAATGTACTTTAAAAAACAAAAAAGAAGTATCAAAACTCCCAAAAAAAAACCATTCTGTGACTTCATTAAATTTTCAATATTTTGACTTTCATTGTTCATAAAATTATTTCAAACAATACGCATTCCAAACCTTTTAAACTAAATTTGGAAATATGCTGAAATTATAAAAAAAAATTTACAAAAGAAAATTAAGACATTTACATGAAAAGGAAGTTTGCCAAGTAATGACATTTCCATAGATATAATGGCATTAACATGTTTAATGAAGTTACAAATGTACAAAAAAATCTCTAATGTTATATCCCTTTCTGCTTTAAACATAAAACATATTTTTCTTTTAAATTTTATGGTAACTTCAAACAATCCTAATGACTTATGAGTATAATTAAACTGATTTTTATTCTAAAAATTATATGGTTACTATAAACATTAACTGTATATTTTCTCCATTGATATGATATATTTATAATGGAAGTTAGGATCCACCACAGAAGTTTTTGTAAAAATGTGGGATTTGGTCAACTAAGGAATTTCTGGTTGATTTTTTTTAACAGGAGGAAATTTCTTATTTATTTTGTTCTCAATAATCGATTGATTGATTGATGGTGTTTAACACCACATTCAGCACTCTAGGCTTTATCCTGGCTCCCAGTTTTTGTTGGTGAACAAAGTTGGTATAGAGAACCACTGACCTCTCCATAGGAACACTGACAATCCTGGTCAATTAAGAAAAGAGTCAAACTTACCTGCCACAAGCAGGCCTAGATTAAAACTCACAATTTCAGTGTTGACAGTCTAGGGATAACTGTAGATGAACTACTTAGACCATTTGGCCGCTGAGTACACCCCCCCCCCCTTTCACAAAAGAAGAAACAAGGTAAACAAAATGAAGGGTAGATACTTTAATAAACATGCAAAAAATAGGGAGTTTTACAAAATTTCTAATTCCCATCTTTAATTTCAGCAGGAGGTTTTAACTCACTCTTCTGATCAGAATACTTGCTGGAACTATAGGTTCAATAAAAGAACAACATTTCAATCCCCCCCCCCCCCTTTTATGAGCAAATATTATCTGTACAAGGGACATAATTATTTTTCCAAGGGGCAACACTCAAGTAAATTCAATTGATCTGCATTGATTTCTGAACGTGTAGGACATTGACTAAGTTTCATAAAATTCTGACAAGAATTGTACCCATGAGAGCTACAATGTATGACAACATCATAGACTGACACCTGGACACGCACAAAGTATTTCTGTATATAAAGAAAATTGTGGCTACGGTGGTGTCCAAATCCAAAAGATTTGTAATTTGTTCTGATATTAAAATCAACATCCTAAATCTAATATCCTGAATCGTTCACCTAGCATAACTATGGTAATTTAATATTTATCTTTACCTTTTTCGCATATCAAAAAAAAATGAAACAAATTACTTATTTTCAAATTAATGAAAAAGAATAAGCATTAATTTTTTCGGCAAAATCTTCCATGCCCTCCACTTTACCCCTCCTCAATACAAATCCCCCTCCCCCTTACACACTTTGTAGTCATCACAATATCAAAGACCAATGCAGTTATTTACAGATCTCAATTTCCTTGTTTAAATTTTACTTTTTACAGATTTTCTCTATCCATTTATACTGTGCAACAATTATTCATAAACATCAAAACTTCATAAAAATCCTTATTAAAGGACGATAACTCAATAATGAATTATAGAGCCTCTTGATGATTTCATTTTTTGGTAGATCTTGTATTGCTGATCCCTTTTGCTATAAACAGTACATGTCTTCTGTTTATGTCTAATATACTCCTCAAGATATTAAATATGTCAACAGAAACACATAAATTGCCAAAAATTAACATTTAAGCGCAATAACGCCTATAAGGAGTTAACTATGTGTTTCAATCATTTAAACATTTTATGATTTCTTGCATTGCTGATTATCTTTTAGGGTTCACAAAATAATATTTGAGATTGCTAAATTTTGTGAAAAATCTTGGTCATATTAGCATTTTTGTAGATCTTGTATTGCTATTTACAGTTTATTAGTATCTATTACAATGCTAGTTTTCCAAATAATTGACAAAAGCAAGAAAATTAGCTGAAAATGCGTCAATTAAGGGAAATAACTCATCTTAGTTGGCTCCAATCATACTATCAATTTCTACATATCTATTATAATTTTTGAGATAAACATGATAAAAGGCAAAATGTTTAGATTTGTAAAAAATCTTCAATTAAATGCAATAACTCCCATGAGGAGTCAGCCTGGGCATGGGCAGTAGGCAGAACTTGACATTTTGAATATCTTTACCCCTTCAAATTTAATCTATCAATTATGATTTAATGATAAAGACAATTATTTCATTTTACACATAAGTTCTCTTTTAAGAAAAGAGTCAAACGTACCTGCCACAAGGAAATTGTGGGAATTCAGGATTTTACACTTATCTTGACTCTGGTATTAATAATTCATTTTTCAGTATCGGGAAAAGAATGCTTCTTTTCTGGAAATCAGGATTCAGTATTTATTTTTCCAGGAATTTGGGATGATACCGCCTCCTACACCCCACTGAATACTGGTTGACTCATTCTTTGAATTATGTGCCATGGTAGGGTGATGTCATGATTTTTGGTTGAGGTAGTTTACATGCAAGCTGAGATCAATTCAATTTGAAACTTTTTACACATGTTAAATGTAATATATAAAAATAAGAAGATGTGGTATGATTGCCAAGGAGACAACTCTCCACAAGAGACCAAAGGACACAGAAATTAACAAATATACGGCCTTCAACAATGAGCAAAGTCCAATGAGAATTACTTACTTGTCTTTCTTTGACATTTTTCATTTGATTCTTCACATTGCTAAAATCCTGACCACCAAAATTTTTTGGGTGTCTTCTAGGAGGTTCTCTCCTATCTGATCTGTCCTGTTGTTTGTGCATTCCCTCCCTTGACCTGTCTGACAAAAAGTTGTATTGGGGATCTGGAGGAGGTCCCTGAAAAATAAAGTAATTGTCAAAAGTGTCATGTAAGTAAAATATGATTCATTACCATTACAGTGGTCTCCCCAGTATTTCCAAACATGGGATTTGAAATAGCACTGTTTCTCTAAAATTATAGCACAATGTTTATAATACCTTCTATAATAAAATCTATTCATATAGCAGCGTGGTAAAATCTATAGCACCATGATACCATTGTGCTATAAGTCTCCAGGATTAGAACACTGACTAAGAACAGTAAAACTATTTTAAATTAAACATCTATTTTTTTTTTACATAATCTTCTTTTTTTTCAAATTCTAGTAAAATATTCAATCTTTGTGACCAAGGTATATCCTGTACCTTCCTTTGATCCAGTTACTCTTTGAAAAAAAAAATTTGACGAAAATGCAAGTCATCTTCATTTCAGCATAACTTACAATCAATTTCAATTATAAAAATAAAAAAAAAGAAGATGTGGTATGATTGCCAATGAGACAATTCTCCACCAGAGACCAAATGACGTAAGTTTTTATATAATAGATATAAGAAGATGTGGTATGAGTGTCAATGAGACAACTCTCCATCCAAGTCAAAATTTATAAAAGTAAACCATTATAGGTCAAAGTACAGTCTTCAACACGGAGCCTTGGCTCACACCAAACAGCAAGCTATAAAGGGCCCCAAAAATTACTAGTGTAAAACCATTCAAACGGGAAAACCAACGGTCTAATCTATATAAAAAACTAGAAACGAGAAACACTTATGAACCACATCAACAAACGACAACTACTGAACACCAGATTCCTGACTTAGGACAGGTGCAAACAATTGCAGCGGGTTTAAACGTTTTAATGGTACCAAACCTTCACCCTTATCTGAAACAATAGTGTAACATCACAACATAGAAACACACACTATAAAATATCAATTGAAATGGCTTAACTCAATCAAAAGACACCAGTGAACATACACTGAACAAATAAATTTGATCTATGATACAATGTAAATACAAAATAAATAAACTAAGGGAAGAATAATTAAAGACTTTTAATAATAAACTGTTATCACAGAGATATGTCTCGCCTTTTTGTAATTTTGATAATGCAAATGTTGAAATTTAAATAGCAATACTTTAACATGTAAGTTATGCAAATATTCAAAGTTGATGAACCATGACTGAAGGTACATGGCTAAACAATCTCCATGGAATGAGATGTGCCAATGCTAATACAACTGCATACCAAATACCATTGACTTATTATAAGTCGTTCCCTTTAAACAAACCTAAACACAAACATTAACTTGTAAACTATGTAAAAGTTTCAAAGTCAATGAACCATGATCAGGGGTGGGGCTATATAATCTCCATGGAAACGATACTTGCAAATGCCAATAAATTTGCATACTAAATATCATTGACTTAACATTAGCAGTTCATCTTAAACTGATCTAATCACAAACTAATACATGTAAACTAAGCAAAAATTTCAAAGTTAACAGACCATGACTGAGGGGGTGGGGCCAAATATTCTCCATGGAAATGAGATGTGCTAATGCTTATACAACTGAACACCAATTAACATTGGCCTTCCACTAATGGTTCCCCATGAACTGACCTAATCACAAACTAATACATGTAAACTTAGCAAAATTTTCAAAGTCTATAGATCGTGACTAAGGCAGTCAGGGGTACTACTCGTACAAGTAATTTTTATTTACTTGAAGAAGTAATATTAATATACTTATATAAGTAAATTTGTAGGATACTTATACAAGTGTATTTTATTTACTTGTATAGGTAAAAAAAAAAATGGCTTAGTTATGTCCCTTAGACATTCAGATTTTTTTTATTTTCATTGACCTACCACTAGTGGTTCACCATGAACTAGACTTAATCACAAACTGATACATTATTGACGCTGCCGCCTTCGCCGACGCCGGAAACAGCATACCTATGTCTCGCTTTTTGACTCCGTCAAGGCGAGACAAAAACAGACTTTAAATATATAAATATTCTGACAATGACTTTTGCAGTGGTTCACATACCCCCTGACAATAACAATCTGTACCTGCGATTTACTTTTAAATGAAGTTATTCCTCATAAACTATACAGTGTTTTTTTCCGTCGTGATTAAATTTTACAATTTTAATATTTTTAGTTTTGGCAGTTTTTTTTTGTCTTTATATAGTTATGATCTACCTTTAAGATCAAATTTTCAAAAACAGAATATATATTTTAAATCACTTTCTTAAATTTTGATAGCATTATTTCTATGCAGCATTTTATACTGAAATCCCAATAATTAATTTCACTTTTTTGTCCAAAAAATAGCAATAATAAATGCACGCCAAATTTTCTGAATTTACAGTATTTCAGAATGGGATAATTTAGCACATATTGTAAATGTTTTAAAGAGACTTATCTTTCGTTGCAGACCGTATGCTGACCTCTAGAGGTCTATGGTTATTTATGATGCCAGCTTAATTTCTCATTCCACACCACATCTCCTCTTTTCAATGTGTTAATTGTCACATCTGATAGGGGCTAAATATCCTCATCCCATAAACATAATAGCTCCTGGACTGTTCGAATTTTCAATAAATGGAAAGTTGAAGGTTCTGTATAAAGCTTTTTAGGTGTAAAAAATTGGAGGTCCTTGACTTTTGTGATTCAAAAATAAAAAGTGCTCTTCCAGACGAGACGGATCCAGATTCACAAATAACAGACCAAACCATAAAGACATAATATCCACCAATGAACCATGAAAATGAGGTCAAGGTCAGATAAACTCTGACAGACAGACATGTACACCTTACAATCATTCCACACATCAAATATAGTTGACCTATTGCTTATAGTATCTTGGAACTACTGTAACATTAAACCAATGAACCATGAAAATAAGGTCAACGACAGATGATACCTACCAGGCAGATATGTACACCTTACCATCATCCCATATACAAGTAATAAAGTTGACCTGTTGCTCATAGTATGAGAATAAAATGATACGCTGGGGCGCAGCTTGATACGACCGCAGAGGTCGAACCCTGAACAGTTGGGGCAAGTATGGACACAACATTCAAGCTTGATACAGCACTGAATTTGGATTGTAATTAAATATTTGACACAGCATAGGTTTCTCACACAGAATGGGAGTAGTCTAAGAACTTAAAAATTTTTAATTTACCTATTCAAACCATATCATTATTATTTGCTTTTATATATAAATCAGAAATAACCAATTTAAAATGGAAAATTTTAAAGAAAAAAAAGGAAAAAAAAATCCCCCCCCAAATTTTTTGAAACCCCCTTATGATTCATCACCACCAAACTCAATCCCAGCCTTCCCTTTGTGGTATGGTACCTTGCAGTACAATTTCAGAGAGATCCATACACTTGAACACAAATTATTGTCTGGAAACTAGAAAAATGCTTGGGTTTTTTGCACCTTTTTGGCCCCAAATTCCTAAAAGTTTAGGGCAATTACCCCCAAACTCAAACCAAGCTTTCCCTTTGTGATATGGAACCTTGCAGTACAATGTCATAAAGATCCATACACTTACACACAAGTTATTGTCATGAAACTAGAAAAATGCATGTTTTTTTCCCCTTTATGGCCCCTAATTCCTAACATTTTGAGACAATTACCCCCAAAAACAATCCCAGCCTTCCCTTTGTGGTATGGTACCTTGCAGTACAATTTCAGAGAGATCCATACACTTGAACACAAGTTATTGTCTGGAAACTAGAAAAATGCTTATTTTTGGCCCCTTATTCCTAAACGTTTTGGGCAAGTACCCCCAAACTCAATTCCAGCTTTCCCTTTGTGATATGGAACCTTGTAGTACAATTTCATAAATATCCATACACTTACACACAAGTTATTGTCATGAAACTAGAAAAATGCTTGTTTTTTGCCCCCTAATTCCTAAAATTTGGAGGCAATTACCCCCAAAATCAATCCCAGCATTCAAACCCTCAATCAGCATCATTTAACAGTAATATCTAAAAATGGAAATTACATAATAAAGGTATTAAAATAGAAAATGACATCATAGTCATGGCTAAAAATAAACAAAATCCTTAATCAGCAACATTTTACAGTAATATCTAAAAATAAAATTCCTTTGTAACCATAAAAGCCCATTTAAATACATCATGACAGATATTAAAATAGAAAATGACATCATAGTCATGGCTAAACATAGCAAAAACCTTAATCAGCATCATTTAACAGTAATATCTAAAAATAAAAATTTCTTTGCAACCATAAAAGTAAAATAGAAAATGACATCATAATCATAGCTAAAAATAAACAAAAATTTTTTTTATTACCAAATTTTAAATGGAGTTTATTAAACTAAAACAATAAATTTGCAACCATAAAACCCCATTTAAACACATCATAAAAGTATTAAATAATTCAACTACATCATAAGGCTATAAAAATAGAAAATGACTTCATAGTCAAGGCTAAAGGTAAACAAAAAACCTTCATCAGCAAAATTTTATATTGGCAAATTTCCAATGAAGTTTATTATACTAAAATTGTTGGCAAATTTCCAATGCATTTATTAACAATAAAGTTATTGGCAAATTTCCAATTTACATAATTTAAAAGCAGTGTAAGTGAGATATTTAAATGAGTTTGAATTACCAACCTTACACTGTTTTTAAATAATGTTTTGTACTTATTTATCTATTAACCTGGAAACCCTTGTTTTTTCACCTTTTTTTCCCTTATTATTTAAAGGTTTGAGCCATAACCCTACCCCAAAGCCAATTCTTAAATTCCAATGTAACCTAAATTTACAATATACATAACTTCAATTTAAGTTTTTGATAAAATCAAGCCACATCATTATTATTTGCTTTTATATCTAAATCAGAAATAATTAACCAACTTTAAGTGGAAAATTTTCACACATCACGCCCCCCCAAACTCAATCCCAGCCTTCAGTTTGTGGTATGGTACCTTGCAGTACAATTTCACAGAGATCCAATTAC